GTTAGGGCAAAACTGAATTCATGCGGATGCGCAAAGTTGTTGTAGCACACATACGCAACAGTTGTCCTATCAACATGTGCGATGACATCAATCACCTGACGAGGCGTGCTCTCGGTTTGCGCAAAGTCTTGCAGATGTCGAAAGCCGTTCAGTACCAGTTGGTCACAATGCAGCAGGACGAGGCAGGTGGTGGGTCGCTGTGTTGAGTGCACCGGAAGTCGCCAGCTCCATCATGACTCTGACTTGGAAGAGATCGTACGTGCACGCAGCAGCTAAGCTTTGTAGTTTGGCGTTGGCCTGGCTCCGACATGCGTAGACTACATGTCAGTTGCTAAGACAAAGCAGGTTTCATTGATGCCGCAGCGTCGGACCCTGCTTTGCCTCCTGCTCGAGTTCTTGAAGTCTTATTTGCTCTCGGGCCTTGCGTTTCGCCCTGCCTCCTAATCTGCTTGACAGGCTGCCGTGCTGGATTGCTCATGCGTGCAAATTGCTTTCTTGATACTTCCCTCGAAGGTGTTTGGACTCTAGAATTATGAGACCAATCGTTCCTTTCTGCAGTCTACAGGAGTCAAAGCGATTCAAGGACCCGCGCCGTGGCAATGCGAGATCGTCATCGGTTTACCGGTTTGGCTTGAGAGAGGAGCTCCGCGAATGCGCTGGGATCATCTCCGAGTCACAGCTTCGGCACAATGAGGATGCATCAGCTGCCAACATGAGCCCTGAGACGCACAGCAGTCGCACGGACTTCTTGCAAAACAGTTGCTGGCCCGCCAAGTGTCTGACAGCATGTACATTATCTCAGGATGGTGAACTTCGACATGCCTCAGACTCTGGCAGCTTTCATGCAAGATAAGCAGGACGACCAGTCTTTAAGGGCAACGAGGATCTGACTGCGTCGATACTTATCGTTCTGATTAGCAGCCAAGGAAGACTACATGGACCGTATACGGCGCGTAGATCCAGCTGTCAAGGCTTGGCGCGGGAAGTTCGTTGAAGAGCATTGTATCGCCGACTGCCGCTGCCACCCATACGGCTCTTTGAAGCATGGGAAAGCACGGCTTTCCATGTTTCGAATCACGCGAAGGGACGAGGATACGGGTGAAGAACAAGCTTGCCTTCGTGTCACTTGCTACAAAGATGTCATCGTCATCATCATCATCATTATCATGTTTTGCTTTTGTCTTCGCCAGGTTTGGCCGACGTCGATAGATGGCTCTAAGACTCTAAGCCCGAGCCAGTTTGTGCTGATGATGTTGCTGTGCATCTCTAGTCGTTTCGAGATTTCTGATCCGACTTGCGGGTGTGGCCTGCTGGGACACCAGGCGATACCAGGCGCCTGCGTTGCGAAAAGAGAAGACCTTCTTGTGCTTCAAAAGGCACTAAGCCCGAGTGGCAGCGGCGCTGTTGTGACGACCTCCCTGTACATGTTTTGAGTCTTACTGTGCACCGACAATGAAAACCACGAAGTTCATAAACCACAGCCCTGGAAATGACAAATCGTTATAGCGGTGGTTACCAGAGCCACTGAACCATTGAACGATTCTCTATGACAGGTGACGCCCCCCAAACCACTGGACCTCTCAGCCACTCGTTCCCCCCTGTGATTGGTTTAGCCCCAAACCATCCGTGGTGTCAACCTATTTCTCTTCATTGTCAAATGCCTTGTTCGTTTAGCGTACTTATTACTGCATAACAGGAGACATGAATGGCTTTTAACTGGCTTGCCCACTCATAGGGGCAATTGAATGGTAGATTGGCTGAATGTGATCGGCGATTTCCCACTTTGGGAGCTTGACCAATCATAGTGCGAAATGACTGGCTAAACGAGGTAATCAGAGGATGTGGGTTTGATGAACTCCGATGTCTGGGGGCCTGAATTCTGAAGAAGAGCTCTGCCTCTTTGGAGTTCCATCGTTTTCTGTTACTTATCATTGCATGGATGCAGCGGTCTAGGCGATGCGAGCAGAATGGTCAGTTCTTGTGTGCGATATCGAAGTGCAGGAAGGGATGGAATGCGGTCAACAAAGTGTAGATGCACATGCACATATAATATAAATATATATTACACAGCTGTATACACATATGTCACCCGTCTGTCTGTATGTATGTATGTACATCTGTATGTAAGTATGCATGCAGGCATGCATATGCAGGTAGGTAGGTAAGGTAGGTGGGTAGGTAAGGAGGCAGGTAGGTAGGTATGCTTGCATGGTACGTATGTAATTATGTATGTTCATATCTGGATGCATGTGCTGTCTGTCTGTTTGGCTGGGTATATGTAATTGTGCTTCTGGCTATATGTGTGTGTAAGTACTCAAGCGGACCTATTTTGCAAAAACATGTACATGTAATGTGACTCATAGCATGCTGGGCCCCCTGGTCAATCTTACTCTGCACTACGTATTTATTCGTGTACGGTCACATGCACATCGTCACATGCGCCGAGACCCGTGCTTCATCCCCCACGCTCTGCCGTCCTCATGTTTGTGAAACCAAGTTTAGCAGCGGTAGAGGTTAACAGAACAGTGCAGCACGGTACGTACACGGCTTGTTTTCGCAGCGAGACTGGGGGTGGCAGGTGCATGCCCCTGGTAGCTGTAGCATTTTGTTGCAACAAGATGCCAGCTGCAGGGAAAGCAAGCTGCTACTTACCTACGCGTGTTTTCACATGTTTCACCACATGCCTCATGCTGTGTGTTTTCCACTTTTCAGGATCCACATGGGTTATGGAAATTGTAAGCCTATTGACTGGGGCATTACACAAGCTTCTTATACCACGTTGGCAGACAGATTCTGAACGATCAATCCCTGACCTATTTTGGGGCATGGCTCCCCATTGAACTTATCATGTTCTTCTGGTCCAAGGCGGCTGATTGGCCAGGAAAGAGATAGAGAGTAGAGGGTGCAGAGTAGAGAAAAGAGAGAGAGAGAGAGAGAGAGAGAGAGAGAGACCCCGGAGCAAAGCAAAGAGACCGAGAGGGTGTCACCCCCTAATCTCCACACTCCCTGCAAGCAAGCAAGCAAGAGCAAAGGGCCCCTAAGCCCAGCAAAAAGACAGACAGAGGGAGGGAGGGAGAGAGAGGCAAAGCCACTCGAATCGCATAGGCCCTGAACCGATCGCGATTGTTCTCACCCCCTCCCAAAAATCCGCAAAGCAGCGGGTGGGCTGGATGTTCGGGGCCGGAACTCGCTAAGCTTGGGGGAAGCAGAGATCGCTGGAGATTTCGTACGAAGTGAGAGGACTTCGAGGCTTCACACCGTCCCAGAACACACGCTTGGCACTTGGCTTTCAACTGGAGGTCATGAGCCTGCCCACCTCGCCCGAAGAGATGGGGGTGATTCGGCAGGCCGTTCGATGTCGACACCAAGCTTTGCACACACAGCTTGCCACGTATCCAAGTCATGCTGTGAAGGTGGAAGAACACTTTGGAATTGTTTTCAGAAATATGGAGGCTTGGCGGGTGTCTGGACAACTTTCTTGATGCCGCCTTTGGGGACGCAAAGCTGGCACAAACCTGCGTAAACAGGGAGTTGCCCGGTTCAAGATCCTCCAGAATCGGAAGGCGCTGAGGCCGGGGGCTTTGTCCGTCAGCAAAGCCGCGCCTACATAGCCATGGTCGGAGGCCCTGCGTCCCGCTATTCAGTGTTGTACGCCAGCGCAGCAAACAAAAGTTTAAAGCTGCGGGATCAGCCGCATGTCCACATCAGAGATCTTTCACGACAGGATAATCTTGCGATTTAGTCTCTAGCCATCGTGGTGGCGGTGGGTACGAATCAGTTGAGACCTCGGAGTAGGTTGCAAAGGTTCTGTTGCTTCGCCATTCAGGAACAAGCTGGCGGCCACTGGTGGAAGCCTCAAAAGTTTGGGGTCGTGGGCGTAGCTTCCTGACAGATAAGGGATGACGGACAAGTTTCTGGTGGATCAAGCTTGCCAGTATCATGACGCAAAGGCAGCCAGCGGCAAAAGCTGTTGTAGCTGAAAGGATCCGGCTTATGCTTAGGCTCAGCCTCGAGCACTGTACTTTCACCCATGCAACCATCAGTTTTCGGAAGGCCACAAGGAGCTTGAGCGATTTTCCTGATAGGCTGCATGGCAACAGCAGTTCAAGTGAAGTCGGCCGTGTCGATGAGGAACTCTTCATGTGTGACGATGAGTGTAGAGCTTTGCATTGTCCTCGCGGTCCAAGCCCCGAAGTACAAGAGCGACGGACGAGCAAAAACGGCAGACTGCACTTGCACAGAATGCAAAGCCCTGGAACCTGCTGAGGGCCTGTGCTGTGATGGCGGTCTTTTTGATCGGACTCAGATATGATTCCGAAGTGTAACTGTTTACCTTGCTTTTGGAGTGTTGGGGAGACCAGCCGGACACGGTTCTCAGCTACGGGAAGTGTGGATTTGGCAGGGCCTCTTGCGGAGCTCAGTACTCACCGACGTGCGACAGCTTAATCTTGGCCATGAAACGAGATCCTGCACGGACAGGTCAGTTTCGCATTTCGTGTGATGCAGCCTTGAACAGCTCACACCATCCTGCACAGGTTGCGAACAATTGCAAGATGCCCCTGCTGCCCATTCGCCTTGAATGAGCTTGGCTAGATCGAAGCGAGTAGGTAGCCATTCTCTTGCGTGTTTTAACTGCTGGGTGCCGGCCTCAGGATGTGCAGATGAAAGGGCAAACAGGTGAAGGTTGCCATGCATTTTCTGAACTGGATTCTGCCAGAGGTGGCTGGCGGAATGACCTGGTTGTGCGTGCTGCTTGCATGCCTTGTGGTCGCTCTCGCATCTGGCGCTGATTCGTTGCAGGACCCTTGGCCACGCACCATGTTGCTCAGTGGTCCAACCTCAGTTTCGCAAAGTTGAATCTGAGCTGTATCGAGGACGCCCAGTTGGATACTTCTGGGCCCGGCATCGCACAATCTCTCCGCGCCCCTTCTCCAGGACCTGTTGTGGATAGGAAGTATCGTCCTTACATCCCAGAATCATACAGAGACTACATTCCGACGATGGACGAGAGCGGAGTCCAGTACCAGAAGTACATGCAAGGGGAGCCAGATGCCGAAAAGTTTCAATCCAAGGTCCTTCCACAGGGAAGCTATCGGCAAAACATTCCCTTGGCAAATGGCGCAGACAAGGATCAGAACCCTCAGATCATGGCGGCAGCTGCTCCCGAGAACAAGAAAGACGAGGCTGCTCCACATACAGCCAAGAAATCCGAGTCTGATGCGAGTACTGAGTCTGGGATCATGAAGTACCTGCACGCTCCTTCTCCGGGACCGGTTGTGGATAGGAAGTATCGTCCTTACATCCCAGAATCGTACCGGGACTACATTCCGACGATGGACGAGAGCGGAGTTCAGTACCAGAAGTACATGCAAGGGGAGCCAGATGCAGACAAGTTTCAATCCAAGGTCCTTCCACAGGGAAGCTATCGGCAAAACATTCCCTTGGCAAATGGCGCAGAGAAGGATCAGAGCCCTCAGATCATGGCGGCAGCTGCTCCCGAGAACAAGAAAGACAAGGCTGCTCCACATACAGCCAAGAAATCCGAGTCTGATGCGAGTACTGAGTCTGGGATCATGAAATACCTGCACGCTCCTTCTCCGGGACCGGTTGTGGATAGGAAGTATCGTCCTTACATCCCAGAATCGTACAGAGACTACATTCCGACGATGGACGAGAGCGGAGTTCAGTACCAGAAATACATGCAAGGGGAGCCAGATGCAGAAAAGTTTCAAGACAAGGTCCTTCCACAGGGAAGCTATCGGCAAAACATTCCCTTGGCAAATGGCGCAGAGAAGGATCAGAGCCCTCAGATCATGGCGGCAGCTGCTCCCGAGAACAAGAAAGACAAGGCTGCTCCACATACAGCCAAGAAATCCGAGTCTGATGCGAGTACTGAGTCTGGGATCATGAAATACCTGCACGCTCCTTCTCCGGGACCGGTTGTGGATAGGAAGTATCGTCCTTACATCCCAGAATCGTACAGAGACTACATTCCGACGATGGACGAGAGCGGAGTTCAGTACCAGAAATACATGCAAGGGGAGCCAGATGCAGAAAAGTTTCAATCCAAGGTCCTTCCACAGGGAAGCTATCGGCAAAACATTCCCTTGGCAAATGGCGCACAGAAGGATCATAACCCTCAGATCATGGCGGCAGCTGCTCCCGAGAACAAGAAAGACAAGGCTGCTCCACATACAGCCAGAAGTCCGAGTCTGATGCGAGTACTGAGTCTGGGATCATGAAGTACCTGCACGCTCCTTCTCCGGGACCGGTAGTGGACAAGAAGTATCGTCCTTACATCCCAGAATCGTACAGAACTACATTCCGACGATGGACGAGAGCGGAGTTCAGTACCAGAAATACATGCAAGGGAACCAGATGCCGAAAAGTTTCAATCCAGGTCCTTCCACAGGGAAGCTATCGGCAAACATTCCCTTGGCAAATGGCGCAGAGAAGGATCAGAACCCTCAGATCATGGCGGCAGCTGCTCCCGAGAACAAGAAAGACAGGCTGCTCCACATACAGCCAAGAATCCGAGTCTGATGCGAGTACTGAGTCTGGGATCATGAGTTACATGCACGCTCCTTTCTCCGGGACCGGTTGTGGATAGGAAGTATCGTCCTTACATCCCAGAATCGTACCGGGACTACATTCCGACGATGGACAGAGCGAGTTCAGTACCAAAATACATGCAGGGAAACCATGCCCGAAAATTTCAAGACAAGGTCCTTCCACAGGGAAGCTATCGGCAGGACATTCCTTTGGCAAATGGCGCAGAGAAGGATCAGAGCCCTCAGATCATGGCGGCAGCTGCTCCCGAGAACAAGAAAGACAAGGCTGCTCCACATACAGCCAAGAAATCCGAGTCTGATGCGAGTACTGAGTCTGGGATCATGAAATACCTGCACGCTCCTTCTCCGGGACCGGTTGTGGATAGGAAGTATCGTCCTTACATCCCAGAATCGTACAGAGACTACATTCCGACGATGGACGAGAGCGGAGTTCAGTACCAGAAATACATGCAAGGGGAGCCAGATGCAGAAAAGTTTCAAGACAAGGTCCTTCCACAGGGAAGCTATCGGCAAAACATTCCCTTGGCAAATGGCGCAGAGAAGGATCAGAACCCTCAGATCATGGCGGCAGCTGCTCCCGAGAACAAGAAAGACAAGGCTGCTCCACATACAGCCAAGAAGTCCGAGTCTGATGCGAGTACTGAGTCTGGGATCATGAAGTACCTGCACGCTCCTTCTCCGGGACCGGTAGTGGATAGGAAGTATCGTCCTTACATCCCAGAATCGTACAGAGACTACATTCCGACGATGGACGAGAGCGGAGTTCAGTACCAGAAATACATGCAAGGGGAACCAGATGCAGAAAAGTTTCAATCCAAGGTCCTTCCACAGGGAAGCTATCGGCAAAACATTCCCTTGGCAAATGGCGCAGAGAAGGATCATAACCCTCAGATCATGGCGGCAGCTGCTCCCGAGAACAAGAAAGACAAGGCTGCTCCACATACAGCCAAGAAGTCCGAGTCTGATGCGAGTACTGAGTCTGGGATCATGAAATACCTGCATGCTCCTTCTCCGGGACCGGTAGTGGATAGGAAGTATCGTCCTTTCATCCCAGAATCGTACAGAGACTACATTCCGACGATGGACGAGAGCGGAGTTCAGTACCAGAAATACATGCAAGGGGAACCAGATGCCGAAAAGTTTCAAGACAAGGTCCTTCCACAGGGAAGCTATCGGCAGGACATTCCTTTGGCAAATGGCGCAGAGAAGGATCAGAACCCTCAGATTATGGCGGCAGCTGCTGATGAAGCTTTTCATGAGCCAGCGCCGGTTCTCCAAGCCGCCGGCACTCCGGCATCTGAGGCTGGCAGGGGCGAAAACCAGAGACTGTGATGCCCAACTACTGTCATGCTCATGCTGTGCTGCTGCAGGCTGATGCACTCGCACATTACGCATTGTGGTTATATCCGTGCCTGGCACGGCTCTTAAACGTCAAGACATGACATGCAACGCTTCAGGTTCAAATGCTTGGCGATTGCCCAGAATTCTGCCGGCCTGTTCGTGTGATTAAGTGTTGAGGGCAAGCAAGCTGCCGAGGCTGCTGTGGCACTGCTGAGCGCTGTGCATCTGGCCATTGGTTTGAGAAGGCCAAGCACTGAGCGAGCGCACTGCAAATGGGAGCTAGTGATGCAGTACTTTGCTTGCAGATCTATTGTTTCGCGGTTCCATTCCTTCGTTGCTGCGAGGGCAACGACAAGCCAACATGGTGGCCTCTCTGAGTCTTTGATCGTGTGACAGGGGCGGTATGCATCAAACATGATTATGTACAGTTTCCGAGGGCCAGTGTTTCGCGGCTGAGTCGAGGGACACCTCACTTGTCCACTGGGTACAGAACACAAGATATTCGTACGCTAGCAAGCTTGGAGGCCGTCCTGACTTTGAAGCTTTGTCTCGCCAGCAATTGCATCAGTCGACAAGCCATGAATCAAGTTGTTGGCTGCAGGCAAAGCACGGATGGATGCCGCCCCTCTCTCCCAAGTTACTGTCTCTTGAACAGGTCGACAGATGATCGCAATGCGCCTGGAGAAACAACGAACACGCAACTGAATGATGGAATGGGATAGAAGTTCTTGACTTCATCAAGACAATAATTCGATCGTAGTCGTAGCTTGAATCGAAGAGATATACGTTTTCGTAAGATCTTAGTATTTTGGATTCTTATATATATATATATATATATATGCTAGCCCCCCTCCCCAAGACCAACCCTGAATTCCCTAAATTCCCTAATTCCCTACCCATTGGATTTAGGTATATCCCTAAATTACCTAATTCCCTACCCTATGTATTGGATTTGGGGAATTCCCTATTTCCCTAAATTCCCTAAGTCTGACCCCCATGGAGAAGAAGATTCAATGGTTTCCGTTCATGGGTAGGGAATTTAGGGAATTCAGGGAATTTAAGGAATTTAGGGAATTTAAGGAATTTAGGGAATTTGGGGAATTCCCCAAATCTAACACATGGGGTAGGGAATTAGGGAATTTAGGGAATTCCCTAAATCCAACACATGGTCCGGGCTGGGAGTCAGGAATGTTAGGGAATGCGCTAAAACCAA